CTATTTACATAGATTGAAACTAAAACCTGCGGGGTGCAATAACTACTTCCAAGTGGCATTCTTGTTATTGCATTGCTTATGGGGACAACATTTCATGCCAGAATGAACCGAATCGCTACTGTTTCCCATGAAATTAGAACCCCAATGAACAGTGTTCTTGGTTAGTGTATTTATTTCCTCTTCCTTTGGCAATATATTTCAGCTTCTCACGTCTCATTGAAATCACAATCCAGAAGATTGATGACAATTTATCTCATTTACTCTTCTAGGAATGCTCCATACGCTCATAAATGAGGTTTTGGACCAAGCAGAGATTGAATCGGGTAGACTTTATTTCGAGGCAGTGTGCTTTGATTTGAGGGCCATTTTGGATGATGTTTTATCACTATTTTCTGGAAAATCACAAGAAAAAGGAGTCGAGATAAATTATAAACAATAAAGTTATTTGTACAAAGTTGCGTTACAAAAGTTAGATTACAAAGTGTGTTGGCAAAATCCAGATCGTTGATTTCAAATAATTTAAAAATTTATTTTTAAAATGATTAGTGTAGATGTTATTTTGTCAACTAACTTTGTAATCCAACTTTGTACATATATCATAACTCAATTATAAATCAAACTTCTAGCTTGGTCAACTGGTTGTTTTTATCAGCACTCTGATTTGGAACATTTTAGCAGAAGTATATAGAACATCATGCTACTCTATTTTCTATTCTTGTTTCTTTTCCCTTTTGTTTTGAACGACGCATTTTATTGATTTAGTGCTTCTCTTGCAGCTTCATTGGCAATTGTGAATTGTGTGGCGAGTAAATCGAAGAATGCATGAAGGATGGCGGGATTGAGTATGCTATTAAGAGTATTATTCAGAAGTTTGGCGTTGCAAGTGTGGCAATAAGCTCTTCATGCCTAAGCAGCATCAAAATTTTATTCCTAATTTTATTTCATTTTGAAACTCATTTTTATTTAGGTGATGATGTATTACGGNGTTATTGCAGTGGGAATGTTGTGAAGTTCTCAGGGTAGCATTTTCATTTTTGCTAGTATTTGTCCATTATTTTATTCCTAATTTTATTTCATTTTGAAATTCTTTTTTATTTAGCTGGTATTGTATCACATTTTAATGTTCAAGTCTATATATTCAAAAATTTTGTAATGAAATTATCAATTTTTATGCAATTTCAAAATTTGTTCAAAGAATTCAATTTTACCATTCAATTTGCATAAATGCTGTAAAAAAAGGGCAATAGTAAAGAAGCATTGCAAAAGAGTTATTAGCAATACTCGAACAACGTTGCAAAAAGATTATTAGCAACATTCAAATAACGTTACAAAAGGTCATTAGCAACTTTCAAAAAACATTGCTGTATCCTTTTACTCTACGATAACATCGAGGTTTGCAACATACGTCCAAACGTTGCAAAAAGTCTTTGGCAAAGTTTTTTAAACGTTGCAAAAGACTTTTTTTGTTGTAGTAAAGTGGCACAAACTTGTCAACTCGATGAAGTAGAATAATTTATGTAGACGACTTTGAGTTGTTTTTAATTAAGAAATCGGATTAGATATATATATCCAACCACTTGCAAGTTGCAACACACAATTATCCATAGATTATGGAACATTTTTAACAAATTCATCCTAATCAGACAATATAACCTTAAAAATTTGGAGTATTATAGATTTTTATTGAGTATTACAACCTTATCGCCGATAAAGTTATAAAACGGTCAAGATCCAAGTTGCAAAGGATGGACACTGCTGGGCTTGCAA